GCTCAAAGTGGAAAAAGATGGGAAGAAAGACATCACTGTTGTGGTACCATACATGTATGATGAAGAAGCTAGCTTGAGAAAGCTTTACCTGGCAATAGTCATGCATGAGTACCCATTTAATATATCCGAGCATGAGTATTTTGTTGAGTTCATCAAATCGCTGCGTCCTACCTTTCCAATCAGATCTCGGGTTACCATTAGGAAGGAAATTATGAACATGTTCTTAGCTGAAAAGGACAGGTTGTATGACTACTTCAAATCTGTCTCTTTCCGGTTTAGTGCCACCATGGACATGTGGACTTCAAATCAGAACAAGTCATACATGTGTGTCACTATACATTGGATAGATGACAATTGGTCTATCCAGAAAAGGATTGTGAACTTTGTGCATGTAGAGGGCCATCATACTGGTACAAAGCTGTCGGAGACATTTACTGAACTTATGGTTAAGTGGTATATTGACAAGAGAATGTTTGCTCTGACCTTGGACAATGCATCAGCAAATGAAGTAGCAGTCAAAGACATCATCTCTGATCTAAAGGCCAATGCTAGTGCAACGTCTTTGATATGTGATGGAATATTCTTCCATGTGAGGTGTGCTTGTCACATCCTGAACCATGTTGCTAGGGATGGCTTGAGTGTAATTACACCCACAATTGAGAATATTAGACAACTAGTTCTTGCTGTCAAAGGATCTCCATTGCAATGGGAGGAGCTCATGAAGCGTGCAACTGAGTTTTAGTTGTAGCTTTGATATGCATGAAAGATTGGGTTGCTGCAGGAAGAAGAGGTTAGAAAAGCATCTCAGTTTTAGTTGTTGTACAATATTTTATCATAATCATGCTTGTTGATATATGAGTCTTGTCTTACTTTGATTTTCAGATAAGAAGATTGGTTCAATTGTTGGTGATCTTGAAGTTATTGAGGCCCTTGCTTCAAAGCTGAAGATTGAGGTATTGTCAATTGAGTTATCTTTAAGTCATTTTGCTACATTGTTTGTTACTATAAGACTGATGCCTCCTATTTGTTGTAGGACGACGATGTCGCGGACAGTGATGATGAAGTAGATGGGCCACATGCAGATGATCTGGGCTTCTTTGACATGTAGTGTTGTCTGCTGCTTATGATATGTTCATCGGTTGAGTGTTGAAATGTTGGCAGCTATTGCGTTGTGCACAATGCTGTGTGCGTGTGGTTGCCAGCCTTGCCTGTGATGTACTGTTGTGTGATATGTACTATGAGACTATGAATCTATGATCTTAATATCTTATAAACTTATCTGTGTATTGTTCATTTGTTTGAATATGGATTATGCATGGTTGCAATTGTTGCGTCGAGCTAACTGTTTTAAGTGGTTACACTTACATGTATCGATGTTCCCGTTTTGTGTTATCGATTCCCGATCGTAATCCACATGTTCCCGATCGAAATATTCCGTTCCTGATATCCTATAATATCAAATTCGTTTTCCCGTCCGGCTTTCCCGTTTCCGCTACCGTTTTCGACCAAAAAATACAGGAGAGGGAATGGTTAAGGTGTTTTCCCGACCGTTCCCGGCCGCTTTCATCCCTACACGCAAGGCCCGTGGTAGGGTCTTGCCGGATCATCAGCGTGTCACCACCCCTCGTGTCATGGCCCGCACAACTGGATGGTTTACAGTGGACCGGCCAACTGGATGGTTACAATGCACGTATTATCTCCTGTTGGGCCGGTCTATGTGCGGCAATGGAAGTTTGGTAAGATCACACAGAATGGCCACGTGGGCCATCAAATAGTTTTGTTGGCTGGCCAACAGCCTATAGCGAGGGAAAAATTTATAACCACAACTTTTATTATGTAATACTATGTTGATTCTAACTCTGTTTGCACCAATATTACATTTTCTATTAAAGAGTATTATAAAATGAGATCCACGTTACATGTACTTAGTCAACTTTAATACTAGAATGTGCGGCACATTTTAAATGTTATAACTTATGTTTGTACTAATGTGATAACTTGACTTAGTGACTTATTGACATAGCTACTAGTGTGTGCCATATGATCTAGCGGAGGACTTTGTGACCTTGGTAGATCATCTAGTGAGCCAAACTAGACTTTGTGATTATCTAGTTGACCAAGTCTCTATGATGCACTGTACCATATGATTCGGTGGGACTGTATGACCCGCTAGTGTATCATATGTTGAAATAAGTTATAGAATATTCTCTATATAGTGCCACCATATGATCTGCCGGGTTCCTTTTGAGTCGCGGATCATCTGGTGCTCACTGTGTGTGCCAACTTGTTCTAATGGGTAGTAGCTGGTGGCCTCTTCACCTTATATATATATATACTGTTCTGCAGCTGGCTATAAAATAACTTATTATGTGACCACTTTATGTTACGATAATTACTATGCTAATTCACGAGATTATAGTAACTCCTTACTATGTGATTTACTATATTTACTATGACGTTATGATAAATATCCCCATGTGTTATAGTAACACAACTATCATAAATATGTATTGACATTATCATAAATGGAGGTGGCTACAGAATAACTTATTTTGTAACTGGCTACTGAATATATATATAGACGTATTGTTCTGTAGCTGCCACTGAATAAGTTATTCTGTGGCCACTTTGAGTTACGATAATTACTATACTAATTTACAAGATTATGGTACCTCTCTCATAAGTGATTTATTATAACATTATGGTAAGTATCATCTTGAATTATAGTACCCCATGTATCGTAAATGTGTTTGTTATTATCGTAAATTGGTATAAACATTATCGTAAAACAAGGTGACTATAGAATAAGTTATAATTTGTATTAGAATAGTCTTTATATATATATATATATATATATATATATATATATATATATATATATATATATATATATATATATATATATATATATATATATATATAGAGAGAGAGAGAGAGAGAGAGAGAGAGAGAGAGAGAGAGAGAGAGAGGCGTTTGTGAAGCATTTGGAGAACTACACAAGCCAAGAAGTGAGATTTGAGTGTTAGCCCGGAGTGGCATCAGCGTTCTTGCTCAACTTTTCTGAAGTTGAAGCTTGAAGACTTGTTACTCTCTTAGTATTTGGCAACACCTAGATGGCTCCGGCGAAGGACTTGGTGATCTTCCTCAGTGGAGCTATTGTGAGGAGGCTCCAAGAAGGCTTGTATATAGTATTGAAACCCACCACCCTAGAGTGACGAATGGGTATTCACTATGGGATAGGCGTGTAACAATATGTTTGTTAGGTGCTCCAACATGGTTAGGGGGTCATGGCAACAACTAAATACCACAGGAAAAAGTCAGATTGTCTCTTTGTCTTGCTGTTTTATATATACTTGCTTTACTTTTATCGGTTGCAAGTTCCATTGTGTGACAACTTGGATATTCTTGTAGGTGTTCTCAGCATAGGTTTATTTCATGCACCTAATTAAGGACATATTTGTTAGTGTGATCGATGCTTACTCTAGTACGTTAACTTATGATCTTTTAGGTTGTACTAAAACTTGTGTAAGACTTATGATATATTTGGTTAGACCTATCCTTTAGTGATCTTGTTAAGGCCTTGCTTGTGTAGTGTGAAGGCCCTAATAGGCTTCCATTTGCTTGCGAATTAAGGACTTGTGTATTCACCAATATTGGTACATCCAGCCGGACGCACGCACGTCGGCAAAGTGCTGGTAAGGGGCGGTGCTAGGCTGCTCCAGCAGCCCTCACATGATCTTAGGGCAGCTCCAATAATTGACTTTTAAGCTAGCTTTAAGTATTTATCTTATATTTTAATATAAGAGAGAGAAAAGAGCTCTTAATCAAGAGCTAAGCTCTTATATACATTTGAAGGTTACATGGCAGTGTCATATGAAGCTATCCATGTTAGCTATGTGCTAAAAGTTAGTACTGTTGAAGAAGTTGGCTTAAAACTAGTAATTAATTGTAACCATTGCGGGTGCCCTTAGCCTCGCGGACAACCCTCCCGAACACAAACACCAAGGCTTGTTGGAGGTGCTAAAAGCATAGTACTCAATTTATCCTACTACTAGATAGCACAACCAAAAGTGTGTACCAGGGCTCTGAAATCCACAATTTCTTTCGCCACCCACATATAATTAATGCAGATCTCTTTCTTGGCCTCGTGGGCGGACGAAGATCAAGCAAAAGGAGCTGTCGGCCTGTCGCCGTCGTTATTTATCCTACCTTAGACTATATGCAAAGTATCCTGCCTTGAGAATTCAATATTAAATGTCATTATCCCTCTGCCTTCCGTTTTCTATTCTGCTCCCTGTATCGAAATGTAGAATTAAATGTGAGTATGCTCTTTTAGATAATGACAAATTGTGAGTATGTAGTCCCTTTTTGTATCTTGTGAGTATGTAGTTTTTGTACTGAGTTTAGAATGTTTTTTTTCAGTTTAGAAAGGTGATCTTGATCTAGTAGTGCAGCTAGCTTTAGTTGCGGTACTTTTATAATATCATATTATAATATATAATTTACATGTTGAGAAAATGTATGAACTTTTAAAATTGCTAGTTTGATAAAAAAATGTTTAATTTAGAACAGAACTAATACGACAGGTAAGAAAACAGATAGATTATCTCGATGTACATGCTGAACACCTACTTCAAATAGTAATTTCATCCATATACCACCGGCGCACAAGATTAGGCTAGTAGCTAGTCCAATAAAATAAAATGGGCACTATAATGTTTGACAAACATAAACATAAGCAAATCAGAGTTGCACACACATTTTCAGTCGTCGTATCACAAGCATACACAGGTACATATACACGACAGATTACGTAGCCACTTATTCATCACGCAAATACATACATGTACATATATGTATATGCACAACCCGGCGGGCGTGTGGGCCCACCTCCCAGTCTCTCCATCTCACTGTCATACGAACGCGTAGATACATATACGTGTACAAACATACATACATGTGGCCGTACGTGCACGCACGTCGACGGGACGACGAGGGGATCAGCCGAAGAAGTGGTGCTTCTTCTCGCCGCCGGCCTCTTCGGCCTCCTTGTGGTCCTTCTTCTTCTCGTGGTGCTCGTGGAAGGCGAAGCCGCCGGATCCCACGGCCGCCGCCGCTGCGACCTCCTCCTCGATCTTGTGGCGGTGCGCGTGCTCCGGGTCCTTCTTCGCCTCGTGCTTCTCGTACTATGTACATGTACAACGATCATCAGTTCGTTCGTTCAATTCATATGTATAGGTAATATGATAATAATTAACGATAATCGCCGGACGACGACGACGAGAGGTACACGACGACGTACGAGTGCGAAGGCGCCGGCGGCGATGGCGCCGGCCTCGCCGAGGCGCTGCTTGTGCTTGTGCTCCTTCTCCTCCTTCTTGTACTTGTCGTACTCGTCCTCGCCGGTGGACACCACCTCCGTCACCGTGGTCTCCGTGGTCTCCGTGTACTCGGCGGCCTCGCCGTACCCGCCGCCGGCGGGCTGCTCCAGCTGCTCCTCCTCGTCCTTCTTGTGGTGGAACAGGTGATGGTGGTGGTGCTTCTCCTCCGCCATGGATAATGAAACCAAGATCGAGATGACCTTGTTGGAGGGAGAGCGACTGAGCGAGTGACAATTGGATCGATGGGTTGGTTAGTTGTTGCTTTGCTTGTGCTTGCTTGTCGCCTTGGCACTTGCTCGTCTTATATAGCCGGATGGAGCCGGGCGGCCCGTGGACTGTGGTGGCATGGACGGTGGAGATGACGGTCATTATTGTGATGCGAAAATACGTACACGTGTCATACGGTATGCACAAGACACTTGTATATATACTCGGATTTATAGCAGTATTTTGAAAATTATTGTGGACATATATACTCGAACCAAAGGATCTCTAGCCGGACTGGTTAGAGGGTTCCAGCAAGTCCTGAGTTCGAACCCTCACGGGGCGAATTTCAGGTTTGAGGGTAATAAAAACCCCTTCATCTGTTCCACTCCAAAGTACAGATCTGGAGTTATCCCGTCTCACGGGGATGCAGGTGTCGCTATATATGGGTGGGGCTAGGGTTCGGAGGTTTTTTCGCGAGCTGCATGAGAATTTTTTCTTAATGAAAAACCAGTGGGGATGTCGCTCCTCCACGGCTCGTGTTTTTTTATATATATACTCTGAGTACATTGCTCTAAATCAAGTCCTGCATACTTTATATGCGTCACTCATGTACGTGCTCCGGCAAGGTGCATGTAGTAGCGAACGCAAAGATAGACCATAGGTAGGGTTCATTTCTCCTTTTCTTTCTCCTCCCTCTTTCCTCAGGGGCGGATCTAGCAGTGAGGTAGGTGAGGCTCAAGCCCCTCCTACCATCTCCATAACAATAGAGCCTCTTCTAAATTTTTTAGACATGAAAAAGAGAAAGGAGGGGCTCTCAAGGTTGAAGATGACTTCAGCCTCTCTTCCATTAAATCATAAATCCACCGCTGCTTTTCCTCCATCTTCCCCTCTCGATCTCCTCCCTCTCTGTTAACTCTATGCAGCTCCAGCGCAGGGGGCCGCTATGGGTGCATGGTTCTAGTTACATACGCATAATGTGGATGGCAATTTCAACCTTTGCACTCAGGGCTATGGAGCGGCGTGCTACACATGGATGGTGGCATTGGGCTGCGGACAAGACCACCTTCTTCCTCTCTTTTATTTTAGGACTTTATTATAGGTCATCATAGTGCGTCAATAATTAAGAAGAATGATTTGTTATTGCTAGATCTATCAACATATACGCGGAAGGCGCCGGTCTTAGTAATATTATTGTACATAGAGCTCCAGCACGTGCGGGGCTTGAGCTCCCATAGCCCCCACGCTGGATCCACCCCTGGGTGCATAGTTCTGATTCCATACGTACAATGCGAATGACAATTTCAACCTTTGCCTCTACTAGAGGGCTATGGAGCGGCGTGCTACATGCGGATGGCGGTGTCAGGGAGCACAAACCTCCTATTGTTCTATTTTAGTACTTTATTATAGGTTGTCTTTCATAGTCTGTCAATAGTTAAGAGAATGTTTTATTATTGCTAGACCAACATATACGTGGAAGGCGGCCTCAGTAATATAGGTAATCGGCACTTGGAGCACAAGCATTCCATTGTTCTATTTTAGGACTTTATTACAGGTCATCTTTCATAGTCTGTCAATAGTTAAGATAATGTTTTATTATTGCTAGATAACATATACGTGGAAGGCGATCTTAGTAACATAGTTAATTGTACATAGAGCTCTAGCGCATGGGGGGGGGGGGGGCTGGGCTTGAGCCCCCATAGCCCCCACATTGGATCCGCTCTTGGGTGCATGGTTCTGTTTTCAAATGCATAATGTGAACGACAATTTTAACCTATGCACTATACTAGAGGGTGTACAATGAATGTTTATTAATCATTATACATTCAAAACATAATCCACGTACACAATTACCTAAATATAAAATTAAGATATGTCAGCAAATCAATTCTCGATACGTCACTTTCCCCTACCGGGGTTGCCTATTGATTGCACCAGACCACAAGAACTAACCGATGTACTAAAGACAAGGCAAAGCAATAATCAAACAAGTAAAAATGACTCGTGGACTACATAATTTAGGTGATTGATGGTACCATTTTCATCATAGTATTAACTAGTATTTTTTTTCGCTAAGGAGCTTATTTGGATACCTTAAGGTATGAGAAGATTGGCATGGATGATGACGGTGGAACCCAAAGGCATCTTCGCTACACAGGGCAGAGGCAGTTGTGGTGAGACCATGACACCTGTGAAGAACGATGAGTATCTATGGCGTTGCATTGGCTGACGAAGCACTGAACAGAGGACGACCAAAATTATTTTTAGAGGCGAGCAAATAAGGTTTAGTTAGAGCGAGCTACCTAAAGGCCACGTTCGCTTCGCTGAAAAAACAAGCCGAAATACTGTTCCGGTTAATTTGTTGTGAGAGAAAAACACGGTTCCGACTGAAAAACAAGCTGAAAAAAACGGATTATAAGAGCTATTCAATATCTTTTTAGAGGTGGTGTCCATCTATATTATAAGTCCCCTATAAATTTGTTTCTTACCGGTGAATGTCGTGATCCACGATGGTGACGAGGGCGTTAATGAGAGAACGAATAGAGACGAAAATGTGAATGAATCTGATATGCACCACGCGTCTACGTACGTGCACTGCCCACCGGACCGGGTACCGTAGGGCAGGGGGCAGCGGGCCGGCCCCACGGTTATAGTGGGCGGCACGGCCCACCGACCTCGTGAACCGGCCGGCGATTGGTTGGTTCTAACCGAAGAAATCAGAGTGTCGGCAGATGGATAATCCTTGGAATATTCCGAGATCAGCATTTCCAACACATCGGTAACACGCGAAGCCAGCTTTTATATAGTACGGCCATGTTCGTTTGTCTGATAATCCATATTTTTCAGTTTATTTTTTTAGTTAGAATAATATTTTTCTCTCACAACAAATCAGTTGGAACAGTATTTCGACTTGTTTTTTTTTTTGCGAAATGAACGGGGCCAACGTAGTACTAGTAGTCGAATCAAATGAAAGAATGATTGTTGTATACTAGCGCCTTGTTTAGATTTCAAAGTTTTTTCACTCTCTTTCCATCACATCAAATTTTTGACACATGCATGGAGTATTAAATGTAGATAAAAAAAAAACTAATTACACTGTTTGATTGTAAATTACGAGACGAATCTTTTGAGCCTAGTTAGGCCATGATTGAATAATAATTATCAAATACAAACGTAAATGCTACAGTGTCAAATACTGATTTCCAACCTCATCTAAACAAGGCCTAGTACGCAGTTCATGAATCATGACTCCATTAAATATATACCGTACGTGTTCATGATTCATGAATAATTGTGGAGAGAAGACTGGGGAATTGATAAGTTAACATACTATGATCTACATCTCGAAACAAAGGTCACAAAATACCAGCTTTAATTTGTATAAAAAAGGTAAAAAAAAAAACAAAACAAAACAACTTGCATGGAAGCAATAAACACTTGTGAGATCACGTCCGGTGCTTCCACCGGCCTTGTGGTTATCCCGGATCAAAGGTATATTTGTGATGACCACCAATTTTATTCCCACATATAGTGATATTGTTTTCCTCGTCAGCGCGCCTTGATTATGACATGATGCCTATATTATTGCTATTTTATTTTATAGAGTAAAGCTCAATGGTGCTCTTTAATCTTGTCACGCGGTGTTATTTAGGTTTCCAAACTTATTTTTTTCTTGGTCTCTAAACTCTCTTCAGTTTTTTTCGCAAGGTACGAGTGAGGAGAAGTATGACAGCATAAATAAGATAAACTGATCCAAACGAGCGTCCACCTAACTTGCTATCCTACGTACATGACAATCTTGATTCAGTGTTAATATGTATTTGACATGTGAGGCCCACATGTCGGCTCCTCCTCTCCAGCCCTTTCCTCTTTCACACCACCCACCAACATAATAATAGCTTATAACTTTTTTTGAACTGTCATCGGGGGAGAGAATCCCCACCTGAATAGTATTGATTTATTATCAACAGCCTCGTTTTTAGGAACGAGACAAAAACCCTGTCGTTCGGTTAATTTTGGAAAACTAGGCTAAAACCAGTACAGTAGCCCCAGCACAAGGGCTAGATTGTGGCATATCCACTAGCAAGAAAGAACAACATATCCTTGCACAAGAGCGAAATGTGGCACAACTACAAATACACCAAAACGAGAGAAAGAACTAAAGCACTAAAGCACCAAGCCATAGGAACTCTTAGACGATGCCTCCAGGGACTTTAATGATGCCGCAATGTAATCATCGTCAGCCAAGCAGGAGCTTGCAAGGCTTTCGCCCGAGTTCTTTGCCAAGGATCGGGCCAATTTAGGAGCAACAGCAAGAGGTTCTTCAGTGACGCCTTCAAGAAGGATATCCTCGTCGCTGGCCCAAACTAACCTGAGCTGAGCTTTCGCCCAGAACCTTTGCCACTGCTCCCATTGACCCATCAGCGACGGAGGGAGGCGCGTGACGACGAAGGTAGGATGCCGATCGCCGGTACACCACGCGGAGCCGTTCCCGGACTCGCCCACGATGATGGGAGGCGGGCACCGGCAATCATCAACGCCTGGACGGAGAGGGGGTACCAGTCGACGCCATGTTGTGCGGAGCCGTTCCGAACTCGCCCGTGACGGTGGGAGGCGCGCACCGGCTACCATCATTGGTGAAGGAGAGGGAGAGTGCCAGCCGCCGCCACACTGCGCGGAGCCGTTACCGGACTCACCCGCGACGGTGGGAGGCGCGCACCGGCAAGCGTCTGTGCTTGGATAGAGGGGGTGCCGGCCGCCGCCACACCGCGCGGAGCCATTTCCGGACTCGTCCGCGTTGGTGGGAGGCGCACGCCAGCCAGCATCCACGTCTGGACAGGGGGTTGCTGGCCACCGCCACACCTCGCGGAGCCGTTCCCAGACTCACCAGCGACAGTGGGAGGCGGGAGCTTTTGCGGTGGCCGGAGGGGGAGTGGATGGCGGGAGCTTCTATGGTGGTGCGGGTCGT